TCTTTGTGCAGAAATGGTTAACCACATTTTGAATTCTTTTCTTAGGCTAGACTTTCATTAAAGCAATTAAAATAGTCTTGTTTATTTTTAAAAGATTTTATTTATTTATTTTTAGAGAGAAAATTTAAAAACATTTTAAACATTTAATTTTTTTTTTTAATTTTACTCATCTCTAGAGAAGGGAGGGAGAAAGACAGGGAGAGAAACACTGATGGGTGAGGGAAACATAAACTGGTTGCCTTTCACGCACAGCCAAACGGGGAGACCTGGCCCACAACCTTGGCGTGTTCCCTGGCTGGGAACTGAACCAGCAACATTTTGGTTCACAGGCCAGCGCTCAGTTGGTTAGCAGGCCGGTGCTCAAACCACTTAACCACCAGACCAGCCAGGGCTAGTCTTGTTTATTTTTAAAGGGGAAGCCAGTTGTCACGCTGTGAGTCCCGTCACGCGAGCCCTATGGAGAACTGCGACAATGAGGAACTGTGGCCCCCGGCCACCAGCCAGCCCCAGCTCGCCAGGCACGTGAGTGCGTGTTCTGAGAGCAGCCCCTGCAGCCCAGTCCAGCCTTCAGGTGACTGCACCCCGACCTGCATCCTGATTGCACCCTCGTGAGGGACCCCGACTCAAAACTATGCAGCTGCCTACCCCCAGAAACTGCATGTGAGATAAACATTGATCATGTTAAGCCATGAAGTTTTGGTGGGGGTGTCACACAGCAATAGATAATGAATACGAGCAGCTGGCCAGGCGATGGGGAGGATTCACACGGCAGGGAGAGAAGTCCAGACGAAGGGAACAGATAGAACATAGAAGGAGCGAGAACAAGAGAGAGGACGCCTGTGGGTCTGGAGGAGGCCAGGCCTTGGGCGACCATAACCCAGCTGCTGGGCTGCCTCTTCCGGCCAGAGCGCCCCACGGCACAAGGGGACTTGACCTAGCCCTGCAGCAACACCCGAGGGAGGCTGAGACCGGGGAGGACAGCCACCGAGGTCGCAGGCAGCGCTCACTACATCGGAGCTCTGAAAGCCCCTTCGGTTTGAACAGTGCTCCAGCGAGCTCCAGGGCCCCCCCCGGCCAGGGCCCAGGGGGAGGGGAAGGAGCTAGCAGGGACTTAGCTAAGACCCTCATCTCCATCAGGAACTGGCAGATGCCATGGGCAGCAGTGACAAGGAGGAGAGACACACCACGTTCCTTTTCTGACTGTCACTTACTGTGTGGTCTTAGGCAAATTATTTAACGTGATGGAGCCCGTGTGCTCAGCTGTACAGACACGACCCATGACAGAGCTTACCTGGCGAGGCCGGGTGCAGGCTACGTGGGGTGGTGCCTGGGGAGGCCCCTCGAGGGCCCGGGACACGCTCACACTTGGGGTCTGTTCATTCCATTTATTTTTCCTGGGCAAAGACGGGGGCGGGGAGGCGAGTGGATGAACGCGGTTACAAGAAGGTGGGCTGGCCTGGCTCACAAGTGTCTGGGACCCGCTCTGGATATCAGTTTTGGCAGCTCACAAGCAAAGCCAGGTCTCTGGGAGGAGAGGCCTTGGTGAGTCATTGCTCTGAGTCAGGGGCCAGGGCCTGCGGCTGCCCTGGGAGCGGGGAGTAGAGCAGACACTTCAAACAGGAAAGCAGAGGAATAGTCCGTAAGCTCGTGAAAAAGTGCTCAGCAATAAGACACTGCTCCACCCCCACCCCCGCTGGAGCAGAGCAAGGAAAACTGGCGGAGGACACCAGGTGTGGCGAGGACTCGCGTGCGTCTCTGGTGAGTGCGCGAAATGGGACGATCGCTTTGGAAAAAGGTCTACGCGATGAAGCATACGTCTCTCTGACGACACGCGGATTCCACCTTTAGGCATTTACGCAAGAGAAGTTAAAACGATGCCCACAAAAAGACTTGCAAAGTGTTCGTAGCAGATTTATTCTTACTATTCAAAAAAAATACATAAAGCCCAGGTGGATGAGTAAATTGTGGCCTATTCATATAACAGAAGATTCCTTAGCAATGAAGGGGAACAAACTGTGCGTGCTCATGCAACCATATGGGCAGCTCTCAAAAATACGACGCTGCGTTGAAGAAGCAGCTTTACACAGCATGGCACGCATGATGTGCTTCCATTTACATGACGTTCTAAAACAAGCAAACAATCTATGATGGGAAAAAACTGAAGACAGTGGCGCCCTGCATGGCGGGGTGGAACCGGGGCCCGGGGTTCCCTGGGGAGGGGCACGAGGGGCCAAGGGGGCGTGGTGCTGGCGGCCCACGTCCTGCCGGGGGTTCGGGTGGGCGGGGACAGTGCGTGCCTCTGACAGAACTCAGCAAATGCACACTTGAGAGGTGGGCATCCCGCTTTGTGTAAATTTTATCTCCAGAGGAAAAAAACTGGTCAGTCAATGTTGATGTTTATTTAACGATGTACCTGATGAAGTATTTAGAGGGATGTATATCTGCCACTTCTTGGAAATGCCTCAAAAAATAATGGATGGATGGATGGGTGGGGATGTGGTGAAGCAAGTGGAATTCAATCGTAATGATGGAGTCCAGGAGAGGAGTGTACAGGTTTTCAGCATGTTTGAAGATTTTCATGATGATTTTTAATTTATGCTTTAAGATTTTATTTGTTATTACTTTTTAGAGAGGGAAGGGAGGGAGAAAGAGAGAGAGAAACATCAATGTGCGGTTGCTGGGGGCCGTGGCCTGCAACCCAGGCATGTGCCCTGACTGGGAATCGAACCTGCGACACTTGGATTTGCAGCCCGAGCTCAATCCACTGAGCTATGCCAGCCAGGGCTGATTTTTTATTTTTAATTTTTTGCATCTACCACTTTATTATTACTTTCTTTTTAACCCTCACCCAAGGATATATTTTTATTGATTTTTAGAGAGAGAGGAAGAAAGAGACTAAGACAGTGAAAGAATCATTGATGTGAGAGAGAAACATCCAGCAGTTGTCTCCCGTACCTAACCCGCAGCTCAGGTGCGTGTCCTCAGCTGGATCCAAACCCTCAGCCTTCTGTACATGAGATGACCCTCAACCAACATAGCCCCCCCGCCAGGGCTACATTTATCAGCTTACTATAAGTGATCCTAACCAATAGACAGATAAAGAGGTACAAGGGAGAGGTCAGGCAAGGGTCCCGTGCACGGGCACTTCTGTCTCCAAGACATTGGGGTGCACCACCCTCCCCACACACGGATGTACTCACCAACTCCAAAGCTCAATAATTTTTGATAGGATTTATTTATTTATTTTTAGAGAGGGAAGGGAGGGAGAAAGAGAGAGGGAGAGAAACATCAATGTGTGGTTGCTGGGGGCCGTGGCCTGCAACCCAGGTATGTGCCCTGACTGGGAATCGAACCTGCGACGCTTTGGTTCACAGCCCGCGCTCAATCCACTGAGCTACGCCAGCCAGGGTCAATAATTTTTAAAAATCAAGACAAAAATCACTTGGGATCCTTGGTACAAATGCAGATCGCTGCCTACCCTGCAACGTCCCCCGCCCCGGGAATGTGACTCCCTGAGCTGGGACTGGGACCCACTGCCTAGAACAGGTTCCAGGGAGGATTCTCGAGCTCCCAGGGTGCTCAGCTTCCCAGCTGGGGCCACACACCAAACCCTCCCAGGGAGCGCTCTTCTGAAGGGGTCTCCCAGGCTCTCTCTCGCCTCCTTCTTGAGGTCCTCTGCTTCCCGGCTGCGGCAGCCCCCACTTGCAGGAATCAGCTCTCATCACCACCTGTGCAAAGGCCCCCACGGTCTGAGCTGAACCCAGACAGACTCTGGGGCCCCTTTAAGCCGCCCTAGTCCATCCCATGCATCGCCTCTCTAAGCTCTACAAGGCTCACACCTGGGTGCTCATCAAGTTTCACAGCCCTGCTATGACCCAGACACCCAACAGGCAAAGGGGGACAGGTAACTGGCAAACCAAATGGTAGTCTCCACCCTTTGGAGACACCCCAATTCCCCACCCCAGGCCCACTCCCAGGGCTACCTCTCTAAGCCTGATCGGTACTCCCTGAGGCCCTGCCAGGCCAGCCTCTGGCCTCCAGCCTCCCCATCTCCAGGCTGAGGCATGTTGTCTGGCAGGTAATTGGCCCCGGAAACCCAAAGGGAGGTGGGGGGAGGGGGAGGGGGCTCAGGGAAGGCAGAGCGCAGGTGCCACAGGAGGTGCAGCTGTTTTAGATTAAGTGGCTCCTTTCCCGGGGCCTGGGAGACCTGAGCCGCAGAGGCCCAGGGAGCAGCTGATGTCAAGGGAGACAAGACCCCATTCTGACCCTCATGGGAGACGGCAGGTCTGCCCACGAGTTACCCTAAGAGCTGCGGTGACGCCCCAACTCCTGGAACTCCACTCTTCCTTCCTACATCCGGGGCTTTTTCACAGCACCTGCTAAGGACTTGTTCTGTCCCCTGGGGTTCTCCAGTGGGACCGTTCAGTGGGAGGGAAGCCAGATAAGGAGTCCATGTGACCAGTCCCCCTCCCTCCAGAAGCCCCAGGGAGTCCCTGGGAGAAAAGGATCCGGAGAGGCTACCGCAACCCCCAGCTCCAGCTCAAAGCAGGTGGGACTTGAAGGGAATCCCCTGAAGGGCCCCGCGGTCAGGTGATTGTGATAAACTGCGGCGATGACAGCCCATGACAATGCCCAGCCCGGGCTCGCTCCAGCAGGAGAAGCGCCAGAATCGGAACCACAGGCACATCCGTGCTTCTCTGAGTGTGGTCCCACCGGCAGCAGCTGGCAGCAGCGGCGTCACCTGGGAACTTACTTGGCAGGTTTGGCAGGTCCCCTCCTTCCCAGACCTGTGAATGGGGAGGTTGGGCGAGCGGCCCCTCGAGGCCTCTACCTGACTCTAAAGCCCACTCGGTGGGAGAACTCAGGCTCGATCTGATGGGCTCGGGAGTGGGGCTGCCTGGAAGACTTCCCTCTCTACGAATTCCTTCACGCTCATCAAACATTTATCATGTGCTAGGCCCCATGTCAAGCCTCCCGAGGAGCCCAAAGTGGGGAAAATTCCAGTTCCTGCCCTGCAGGCAGGCTGACTGGTGAGTACAAGTTGGGGCAAAGAGCCCAGGAGGGAGCCAGTCTTCCTGGATGTGGGGATTAGAGAGGGCTTCCCGGAGGAGGTGGCCTTTGAACTGGGCCCTGAAGGATGAGTCAGAATCAACAAGCACCCTGGCTGGTGTGGCTCAGTGGACCGAGCACCAGCCTCAAAGCTGAGGGGTTGCTGGTTTGATTACCAGTCAGGACACAAGTTCAGGTTGCGGGCCAGGTCCCCAGTTGGGGGCTCACGAGAGGTAGCGGACTGATGGAGCTCTCACACATCAATGTTTGTTTCCCCCCCCCCCTCTCCTTTCCCCTGTCTCTAGAAATAAAATAAATAGATACAAATTTTAAAAAATCAACAACCAGGCAAGGAAAGCACCAGACACAGTCTTCTAAAACCAAATCTAACTTTTAAAAGCATCTGGTTGCTTTTGGAATAAAGTGCCCGAGCACAAGCTTCTCCACAACCCGGCCCCTCTCTCCTTCCTCAGCCCCACCCCCTGCGTTCCACGCCTCCATTCACACGTCTGAGCACGACGGAACTTCTCTCACACACGGACTCGCGCACACAGCACGCCCCTGCTCGTTGCCAGGCCTTTGCTCATGCCGTCCCTTCTGCTTAGAATGCCCTCTCTGTGTCTTGTAGTCTAATGCCTACCTGTCCTTTCGGACTCACTTCAGGTCTTCCTCCTCCAGGAAGCACTCCTGACTGCCGGCTGAATACGTATCATCCTCCAAGTTCCCCAAGGCCTGGAACACCGGTTCATCGGTGCCCTCACTGCACTTTATTTAAAAATCTGCTTCATGTTAATCCCCCTGTTAGAATGTGAAATTCTTTTTTTTTTAAGATTTTATTTATTTATTTTTAGAGAGGGAGGGGAGGGAGAGAGAGAGAGAGAGAGAGAGATCAATGTGTGGTTGCTGGGGGTCATGGCCTGCAACCCAGGCATGTACCCTGACTGGGAATCGAACCTGCGACACTTTGGTTCTCAGCCCGCGCTCAATCCACTGCGCTATGCCAGCCAGAGCTAGAATGTGAAATTCTTGTAAATAGGCATCTTCTTTAACTTTGTGACCCAAGGGCCTACAGGGCACAGAGCCCGCTGTGCAGTGGGCTTTCAATGAATAATCATTTAGCGAAGGAAAGAAGGGAGAATGTTCGAGGAGGTCCAGGACAGAACAACAGCAGGAGGGATGAAGAGTCTGACAGGGCGCGCATCTCACAGGCAAAGACACAAAATGCTTTCCTCTGCATAAAACCTGGAACGGAGGAGACGGTGCTTAGCAGCCAGGAGCCTCCCGCCGCCTGCGTGCTGGCCCGACAAGCCTGGCATGTGTGCTTTGAGTCCTGTCGTCATCTGCCGAGCGTAGCTGCTGAAATGTCCCAGTGAGTCGAGCCAAGTGCGAATCCAGATAAAGCCTCCTTAGCACTGTAAGTTGGTTTCTGAGTTGGAGTAAAGGCTTGTGAATTCTCAAGAACCCCGAGGGTGCATGGAACATGCTCAGTATCATTAATCACTAGGGAGATGCAAATTAGATATACACCTAGACACCATTAACATCTATTAAAATGGCAAAAAGTCTAAAAACGGAATATTCCGAGTGCTGGCAAGGATGCAGAGCAAGTGAAACTCTCCTACTCTGCCAGTGGGGGTGCGCAGTGGTACAGCTCCTCTGGACAATAGGTTGGTAGTTTCTTATGAGGTTAAACACACGCTTACCCTGTAACCCAGCAATCCCGCGTGTAGATAAGACTTGAGAAGTATGAAGACTGCAGTTCGCACAACCCCCCAGTACCTGAGCACTTACAGAAGCTCATTTCAAAATCACCCTAGAGTGGAAACAACTCAAGTCCGTACACAGGTGAATGCTAAACCCGTGGGGGTCTCTCCACACCATAGGCTCCTACTCACTGACAGAGAGGAGCGAACCACTGATAGCAACAACATGGGTCAATCTAAATGCATGATGCTAAGAGAAATAATCCGATTCTGAAAGGTTATACGCTGTATAACCCCGTTCATAGAACATTCCGGCAAAGGCAACGCTTCAGAAATGGAGAACAGATTGCCGGGGATCAGGTGGGAGGAGGGTTTGACTACGAAAGGGCAACCTGCGTGGGACATTTTTTGAGTGATGAAATTGCTTTCTATCCTAATCTATGCATCTGTTAAAAAATGTTACACACCCAAAACAGTGAGTTGTACTATATGCAAATTTTTACCAAAATTTAATACTAGTTTACAGAAAAAAAAAGAATCCCCAGGGATAAGGCAGTCACCAGAGATGGCACTGTCACCCATCGTCTTATCTGTGGTGGCCATCTCTGGTCAGCCCACATGCCCCTCCTGGGTGACTCACTAATGCAAGCTCCAGGTCCGGCTAATGCTCCAGGTGATGTCACGGCACTGATACCGCTGCCCCCCCCAAACAATTCTACCATCTACTCTGACCTCAGTGTCATCTCCAGGATGGCAATGGACTTCGCCTTGTTCACCAAGGTATCCCCAAGGGCCTAGAACAACGCTTATGCAGCGTGGGGCAAAACTTGGAGTCGATTCCTGTATTATTTATTAATTATTATATTATTTACCGTATGAACAACTGCCAACCTGTTTTTGCCCCACCCTGTCTAGGACAGCTGTGTGTGTTATGCGCCATTGACTCGGCGCTGACTGCTGGTGACTCCGTGAGTGAGTGACGCCCACAGCGTCCGGTCCTCAGCAGCCCTGCTCGGCTCCCGTAGACTCCCGCCTGTGGCCTCTTCCATGGAGCCGATCGGCTCATGTGTGGCCTTCCTCTTCTGCTGCTGCCGTCTATCTTTCCCAGCATTGTTATCTTCCCCTGCCTTCTCACCATGTGCTCGAAGTAGGACAGCTTCAGTTTGGTCATTTTTGCCTCCGGCAATGTGTCCAGCTTCATTTGCTGCAGGACCCACGTGTGTGTCTTTCTGGTGGTCCAGGGTGTCCATGGAGCCCTCCGCCAACGCCATATTTGAAATCAATCAGTTTCTCCCCTATCGGTCTTCCTCGATATCCAGCTTTCACACCCATACATGGTCACCGGGGATATGAGAGTGCGGATGACCTTAGACTTGGTTCCTTATGACACATCTTTGTTTTTGGTGATTTTCCCTAGTTCCCGCATTGCTGTCCTGCCGAGTCTCAACCTTCTCTCAATTTCTTGACTGCGGTCTCCATTTGAATTGATGGCTGAACCAGGGTAAGCTAATCTGTAACAGCTTTCGATGTCTTCATTGTCTATGTTAAAGTTGTATAATTCTCCTATGATGTTCAAATGTTCTAATCCCAACAAGAATATGTCAACAGACATGGAGACAAAACCATGACCTACAGACTGGAAACGTTAAGTGTACATCCCAATTCTCAAGAAAAGGGTGCCAAGGAGTGCAGTCACCATGGTGTTCTAATTTCCTGGGGAAGTAAAGCGATGCTCGAGGTGATGCAACAAGGGCTCCTATGTTGCGTGGGGCAAGAAGTATCGGACGTTCAGGGTGGATACAGAAAAGGAACAGGCACTTGAGATCCAGTTCATTCATTGGATACTGGAACATTCATTGGATACTGGAGTGCTCTAAAGAATTCAGCCCTGGCTGGTGGGGTTCAGTGGACTGAGCACTGATCTATGAACTGAAAGGTTGCTGGTTCGATTCCCAGACAGGGCACATGCCTAGGTTGTGGGCTAGGTCCCCAGTTGGAGGCGTGCAAGAGGCAACCAGTTGATGTTTCTCTCCCTCTTTTCCGAAATCCCTCTCTCCACTCTCTCTAAAAATAAACAAAATAAATGAAATCTTTAAAAAGAAAGAAATTCAGAGGGTTAGTCTATGTTTATAGACCACAGTAAAGCCTGTGACTGCCTGGATCATGAAAAGCATTTAGCTGTCCTGAGGTGTAACCTCTGTCTCGGACAGGAAGCCACTGTTAAAACAGAATATGTAGAGACAGGATGGTTTCCTGTAGGTGAAGGTGTCAGACAAGGGTGTGCTTCATCTCAGGGGTCCCCAACCCCCGGGGCCAGGCCACGGACCAGGGGGGGAACTCACCTGAGCCCCGCCTCCTGACAACCCCCGCCCCGACCCCTGGTTAATGGGAAAAACAGTCCCCGGTGCCAAAAAGTTGGGGACTCCTGCTTTATCTCCTTATTGGTTTGTTTAATATGTTAGCAGAACATATGCAAAAAGTTGGGCTAGACTCAGAGGAAGGAGAAGTGGAAATTGGTGGAAGGAATATCAATATCCAGTAACAGTTGCTCAGTGGATAGTTGTTGACGGAGTAAATATTTGTTATCCATTTATCTCACGGCCTCCAAACTCCTGAATTCATGCTGGTCGCTTGAATACTCACCGCAGCCCCTTCTCCAATAATGCCACTCCCTGCCACTCCTCTCCTGGAATTTTGGCACTTCATATTCCTGCTCGGTGTTGGCTCTGCCCCTCCTCTGGCCCAAGGGTCTCCTGAGGTCTCAGGTGAGAATTTCTCCCTCTTCCTCCTGATGCATCCCATTATGGCCCTTCAGCCAGAGCCCCAGTGGAAGCAGCCCTGGCCTCATTGCAAACAGTGACAGTCAGCACAGGGCTGCCACCCTCCCCAAGCAGGAAGGAAGTGCCAGTGGGCCACGTGGACTGAGAGGGAGACCACCTTGGGCTCCCACCTCTCCACAGCAGCGTGTGTTTGTGTCTGCCGAGAGGTATTTGTTGTTGTTGTTTTTCCCCAGGGAGGTACTTTGGTTCAATCTCACTCAGTCAGTCAAAGTGTCTGTGTGGCCCTGGCCGATGTGGCTCAGTTGGTTGGAGCGTAGTCCTGTAGACTGAAAGGCTGCAGGTTCGATTCATAGTCAGGGCACATACCCAGGTTGTGGGTTCGATCCCCAATCACCCCAGTCAGGGCATGTATGAGAAAGCAACCAATCAATATTTTTCTCCCTCATCAGTAGTCCTATCTCCTTCTGTCTCTCTAAAAGCAATGAAAAAAAAAATGTCCTCAGGGATGTTCAGTCATTTGGTTTTGTAATAAAGCCCTCTGGTTCAAATCCTCGGGCTTTCTGCCTATGTCCCTCCAGGTTGGTTGACACTGAAAACTATTTGTAATCAAACAGTGACTATTTCCTCTGTCCTTCACATCTACCAGGGCTTGCCAACATTTTTAAATCGAGAGATTTTCCATGAAAATAAGATCTTGCACTACCAGACCACTCCTCCCGCAGGCCTCCCTTCAGTGGGGGGCTGGACTGCAGATGCCTCTAAATGGGGCAGATGCCCTGCTGAGGTCCAGTTCTCTCCCTCCCTCTCCCACTTCTTTCCTTTCTTTTCCTGCCTTGCCTTCCCAAGGCTCTAGGAGCACCGCCCAGTAGTAGGTGCTTAGCTGCCCAAAGGATGGAAAGACATACAAGTGTCAGTCTTGAAGGAGTTTACAACCTAGAAATCGCTGAGGTAAGAATACCCAAACCTGCAGAGAATTAGGAGTTTATTTTAGCCAAACTGGCAACAGTGGAGGAGCCAGATCTCAACTGCTTTGGAAAATAAGTTTATGCATTTGAGATTAAGGAGGGAAAAGGAAAGACTACATGAGAGTAGGAAGGGGGTTGGATTCCAAGATAGTTAAACAAGATTAGGTGCTCTCTTGAGGGTGGTTAGGTTCATTTCAATGGAGTGTTAACCTAGATGCCTAGAAACAATGGACAGTGCTTGCTAAGGCACAGCAAAACCTTTTACTAAAAATGTTCTACGCCTGGGGTGGGACTACTTGCAACAAACTGTCCTGTTAACGATTTATTATCAGATCACCCTGTGAGGTTGCTTTCCCTAGAAACCCTTTTCTACCCACAGCACGTGGAGGAGGGTTTTAAAGTGGGGTGGGTAAAGGGTAGGGGAGGCATTCCATGGAGAAGAAACAGGGCTAAGGTGGAAGCAGGAAAATGCGGACTGTAGGGATCAGAGTTTCCCCCAGAGGGTATCTCCCAAGTGGGTAAGGTCCATTATCAGGAAGGCAGCACCCCCAGCACCCGCAGTCCTACCAAGATGCGGAGCCGCATCACTTAATTCACAACATGGTCAGAATTTGACCAGCAGGAAGTGGAAGGGAAGGTGCTGGGCATTGGAATCACATAGATCCCTGATTGAGTCCTTGGGCCTCTAGCATTCGCTCCTGCTTCCACGCCTGTTTAAAACTGGGATATGCCTAACTGCTTTACAGCACGGCCTTGAGGATTAAAGGAGAGCGTGAAAAGTGCCTGTACCATGTTCTACACACAGTAGGGGTCTGCCAGTAGGAGTTCTGGACTTGACTACGCCAGACACATAGTCAGCGCAACATGAACAATTGGTGCATATGGCCAGGGAACTGCTGAGAGGCACCCAGCATCTCAGCTCTGGCAGGTGCAGCCCAAGGCTCGCCCTGGGCGTCGGCCTCGCGAGACCCTTAGACGAGGTCTCTCCAGTGCGCATGCGTAAACCCCTGCCACGCAGTGAGCGCGAGCCCAGTGGGCGGGGCAGAGGTGCACATCTGCGCAAGCGCAGAAAGCCCTATGGGCAGGGCGAGAAGTGGCGCCGCACGTGTGCAGAAGGCCTGGCGGGCTGGAGTCTCGAGCAGAGAGCGCGGGGAAGAGGATGAGCGAGTCTTGTAGCCGGGCCTCGTTCGAAGTCGGCGCCCTCGTTTCTCAGCGAGCACTGCCTAGTGAGTAGTCCTGTCGAGGCCACTTTTCTGAGGCGCGGAGAGCCATCAGTGTGGGAGAAAGGGCCTGGCTGAGCCCGAGAGGTCCTTGGGTGTGAGGTAACGGCCCCAGCGGCCTGGTGCTCGGGTTTGTTCCGCCTTCCCACGCACCAGGGAGATTTCCGGTCTGGCAGCTCCTCACCACCCCGCCGCTGGCGTCTAACGTAACCTCGCCGGCACTTGGGCCCGTTGGGACGCCCAGCGCACCCTTTGCCCAACCACAGTGCCACGGGGATCTCCGTGGCCTGGTGCTCGGGTAGCCGCGGCGTGGATCGAGGGAGAGCTGCGGCGGGCAGGAGGGGCCTTGGCGTGCGGTGGGCTGGGTTGGCCCAGGCGAGGTCTGTGCTGGGCCCGGGCGATCCCCTCCACAGGCCGCTGAGCAGCGCGGAGGGAGAGAACCCAGGCCGCCCGGCCCACCGCACAGCTCGGGTGGTCGGAGGCTGCGGGCCCTGCGCCTCACCCTCTGAACGACTCTCTGTGTGTCCAAAATGTCTGTTCTGATCTACAGCCCCAGCGGTGACCCAGGCTTGGTAGTTGCCGTGAAAACAAGATTTCTTCCATGGAAGCGTTTCTTATCACATCATGTCGTAAAGATTGGAATGCGTTTCTAGTTTGCAAATGCCTGGTTGGACCGCGGAAGTAAATATGAGTCACAGTACTTGGGGAGAGATCCGCTCAGCCCCTCGGGTTCTTGAATCGTGGCATGTGGGGACAGGGACGGGCAGGTTTGAGAAATGTACCTTGATGCACATCCTCAACTTTTCTGAACGTTAGCGCTCTCACCTGCACGTCCGCAGGGGCAGACCTGCCGCGGTAGCCCACGGTCTGCCTGGATTCTCCGTCACCGGGGATCTCACGGGCGCCTCCATGTAAGGACTCAAACCTTCCCCTCACAACCTGAACTTGCTAAGGCTCCTTTTTATAGAGGTGGCGTGTTTACTTTAATCCTAGTTCAAGCAACCAGGAATGGTCGTCGTCTGTCCCTCACCCCAGCAAGTCACCAAATCGTGACATCTTCCTAGACATTTTCCAAACCAGGTGCTTATCTTTCATTACCCTAGACGGCTATCGGTTTCTGCCTAGAGCCACAGAAGTCACCTAGCTGGTTCGTTTTCATCTGCTCTTGTTCCGGGTTCCGGGTTATTCCCACATTACAACCAGAGGGGTTTTTGTTTTTTTTTTTTTTTTGGTTTGGTTTGGTTTTGTTTGTAACTTAGATCTATGTGGTCACATCCTTTCTTTTATATTCTTCATTGCTCTTTCCTATTGCTCTTAGGAAACACTCCACAGTTCATAACCTGGCCTGTAAGGAATGTCCTCATTCCTTCTTTACCTGTGCTTTCTCCCTGAATGTTCCAAAAGCTTCAAATGCCATGGAAACACTAGTGACTCAAAGTTTTATTTCCATCCCTTGCTCACTAGGATACCACCCCTCTGCGTATCCATGGAGCTGTCTAACAGGCCTCTCCAACTTAACCAAAGCAGAACTATTGA